TTTTTCAAGTTTTACCGCAGCTCCGGACAGCAAATGGCATGTGTCTGCAGATAAACTTTAATGCAAACTATGGCCCAACGTGGCAATCTGCTAGCAACCAAAGCCATCACAAAGATATTTTTGGTGCAGTACCTCCTTTGAAACTGATTTCACCTTGTGACAGCTAGCAACCTCCAGAAACCACTCACCATCCAGGTGAAGAACCGGTAAACATTTCTTTCAGACTGGTCAGTACACCTGTGTACTGAGGCCTTAATTACTAGATATGACACACATTTGATAACTTAAAGGTTGTAGTTGTTTTTTCTAACCCATTCATTAATTTTTTTTTTTCTTTCATTTATCCAATTCAGGGTTGCTGATGGGCTGTAGCCTATCCCAGCTGCCATTGAACAAGAGGTGGGGTACACCCTGAACAGGTCGCCAGCCAACACAGAGAGACACGTAACCATTTACACTAACATCCACACCTATGGCCAATTTAGGTGATTTAGCCCATGTTATTCTCTGGATGATATCAGAGCAATGGCATAACACTCTTTACTTTATCAACAACTCTTAAAACAGACATGGGTTCTCAAAATTTCCAGCTTATCTTAGGGCCTCCCCCATGGAGTCGTTGACTGGAACAGTCAGTTAGAAGAATCCCACCTAAAAAAAACCTGTTCCTCAGTAAACTGAGCCTTCACCCACACAAGGGGCGAAGGCTGATGATGTGAAGTGAAGTGGATATGCTGCTACCCACATGACATATGAACAGAGTATTCTCTTCATCTGTCTCAAGTAAGCTTGCTAGAAAATTAACAAAGAACACAGGGCATACACACTTTACAATGTTACTTCCTGGCACTAGACTTTATTTGCTGTATACATAATGTTTGGCACAGCTACGCTATCTTGTGGAAGAAGGGGATTCTCATTGTACACAAAAGAGCAAAGAGCAAAAACAACTCTGACTCATGCACCACTTTGCTGAGAGAATAAGCACAAAAAGCACATTTTGTAGATGCAAAAAGGCCTGCTGTACCCTATACCACCTCTAACCTCTTCCTTACTAACTCTCATGGGACATACATAGCAGAAAGAAATCAAGATAGGAGAGAACTGTGGCTTTTAAAAAATAAAGCAATGTTTTCCATGACAGCCAACAGAAAGGTCGCAAAGATGAGACATACGTCTAAACAGTAAGCTTTTAATAGTTGTTCCTATTGGATTTATCCCGTGAATGGATGGTACAATGCTATTAGGTCAGCTTCCTCTATGACCCACTTCCCTCTTTCCTGTGCCGCCTCCTTTTCTACTCACTCTATCAGGCTGGCTGTCTCAACAAACACTTCTCCCAATCACTACTTTTTTTCTTTAGACAGCACATTTTTATTTAGTAGTTATCAAACAGTCTCTGTAAAACCAGGTAGAACAAAGCATCCACATATCAAATGCGGCCACTGCTGGCAGTTGATGTTCGCAAAATGCTTTGTGTCCATTTTCTCATCGTCTGTAAATATTAAGTCAACTAGAGGGGAACCAATCTAAAAGAGTCCTGAGATAATAGAGAAACATTTCCATTCACCTCAGGAGCTTTGTGGAATAAAGTGAATGGATACTCGTACTTCTATGTCCCCCTGCTGTGTAATTTTCTTTGAAAAACAGAAAGGCACCACAGCACAATGAAATCCATTATCTGCTCAAGTAAGATGATGCTATTGCGGCTGTGCCTGCCACGCAAACAAGAGTATCTGAATATCACATTCATGTCTGTGCAGGTAATTGCCGAGGCTGACATTTAGAACTGCATTTCTTTTTCCCTTTAAGGAGGGTATGAGTAATGAGTCAGATCTCACAATTACACAACCATCAGATCCAGAAAAGGAAATGCACTATGTAAAATAATATTACTTATAAAGTGAGAGTTTCCCTAGGGAAATAAAAGTTTAAGAGTGACATGATATGGCACTGCTTAAAGGCTAAAAAGGGACGATGTGCCAAATGAAACTGGTGCAGTAACATGAGTACAGAAACACTCGGGCAGCTTTCATGAAATGGGCACTGCTCTGGAAATAAGCCATCGTGTCTGAGAATAACACCCATTTTCAGCAGATGCTTGCAAATTACAGCCAGTCCCTTATGGTAATTGAGAATGACTCAGCAGTGATTGTGGAGGCAGGCAGAGAGCAAATGTTCAACCTCATAACAGAGTCCACAATCCTCAGCACATGGCCGGTGTCTGATCCTGGGGACATAACCACTCTATATCACATGACTCAAAGCCTTGAAGGATTACCGAAGGAGACTTAAGAGTTTGAAGGAGAGTGATCGCACGACCTGTTGTAGTGAAAGTTAAAATCGATTATATCACCTGATGCCAAACTGAGAGTAACTAAAGGAAGGCCATACAACCCATGCACAATTCATTCAAATATTCAGATTTTGATTTGTTTGGTATTCATGTGGTTTCAGTTTGTCACTCACTTTTCCATGGCTCACACACATAAGCTCATTTGTTTCCAGGAACTATTATGTTAAAAGTTACTTGTGTGTCCCACATAACCAAATGAGCAAAATTTAACAATAATTCATTCATTTTTAAAATTTATTCAGTAATTATTGTACTTGGCAGGTCAGCAGGACTTTTTAGGGGGGGCTGTAGATGAACGTAGCACATGTCAACAGAGACAAATACCAAACATGCTTAAAAAAAAGCTTAGAAAACTGTCTAACTATTTTTTTAGATGCTGATTTTCCATAAACTCTGATATTATTCAAAAGATAAACACCAGAAATGTTAATTTATGCAGTTCTGTTGTTTTCTCTGTCATCCTGACACCAGGATCATGCTACAAACGAAACAGCATATTCTGTGTTTTGTTAAACCTGTAATGAATGTACAGTATACACATTTAGTAGGTTAAAAGTTATAACAATGTTTTTTGTTTTGTTTTTATGTCATAGAAAGCAAAGTGTGGCACTTTGTCACACTGACTCACTGAAACACATGAACCGACCACTCTAAACACAGCCTTTGCTTTTCCACATATGCCACATGGATCTGTCTGCTGTAAAACATACCACTTCCATTTTAAGTCAATATCTTAATAATATTATGACATCATTCAGCCAGCAATTACAACATCTGCTGTCAACGCCCTGCACTGTGTTCATAATTATGCCTGGTTAAATAAAATTTTTGGAGAAAAAGAACACAAGGGCTCTTCAACCAACTGAACCACTCCCAAACACTTAACTGATTTTATTTACTGATGCTTTATAGAAGAGAAAATATCAACCTACACAAGAAATTTCCAGCACATTACCTTCTAGTGCAAAATTAGGATTTATCTCCCAACTCAGCCATATGATCGTTCATTCTTATTCTCTCAGTATTTCGACGTTGTCTTTTCATACTTTCAAAAGCTTTCCCTAAAGATGCCTAAAAGGGCCTTGCTGATCTTTGAAGGACACTTTAACTCCAAGGACTCTGTGTTTATCCATCAAAGATTCTGTGTGAACACTTTACTACGTATGGAGCTATTCCAATCCTGTAAACATCTGCAGTCTTACCGAGGGAATAACAGAACTGATAAGCGTAGCTAAGTATAGCTCTAATGACAGGCCACATACAGCGAGAGAAGAGGGCAAAGAGGATCAGAGAAAAGTCAAAGTCAAATCAAGTTCCTTGGCTCTATGAGGAACACACATGAAAACCCGCACAATGTGGTTGAGCATAAATGTCAGAAAACCAGAGATGTGGACTAAGTATAACACCCACAGCAGACAGGACTGGAAACAGCTCATGTCTTAAAGTATAAGGAGTTGTGTAGGGCTCATCTTGCTTAACGCTTAAGTCTTCATCCTCCACCTGTGATTTCTGGTATTACTGTATAAATAACACTTATCTGTGCTGTACATAGTGATTTTTCAGCATTTTACGACCCTGTCACCCTCGAGGTTGCACTTCAAGAGCGCTATGGTGTCTTGGAATGACTGCTACTCCCAGGGTAGTGGGACAAATGTGTGATTTCACAAACAGCCACATTACAAAATACACTGACGCTGACAGTTAAGGCAGGCCAAAGAGACACAGCAGTTTGGGTGGTCCACTCTTCAGCAGACGTTCAGCTGTTGTAGAGTGGAATCAGATTGTAAACACACCCTCAGCCAAGGTGGCGCTCCAGGATCCTAGCCAACAGGTGTCCAACGTACACACTCATGGATCAGCATGTGCGTTCGTGTTTGTGTGTGCGTGACCCCACCCTAACAACGGACAAACCAGACTGATGTTCATCTCGCTTACACTAAGGGCAATCGGTCACGCCTTATCCTAATGTGTACTGGCGCTGATGCCACGGCGCTTTACACTGTCTGGCCTGTTATAGATCACAGCCTAAAATGGCACACACACACACCTCATGGTAAAGACTTGAACTGTCAGCAACTACAGTCGAGGTATAAAAATATGAATTTGAAGGCTCCACTGCACGGTCGCTTATAAAAACCCTGCTTGAATTTACACCCTTGTCTGCTGCATGTAACTTTAAGATCATCTATGAGTCATCTTCAGTTACCCTTAATTCCTGGCATGTCCATGAGCAAGGTATCTCAATGGTAAATCTCAAGGAAGCCAGATTTCCCTTTAAGCATTAACTATTTAGGTACCCAACAGGCTGTGAGACACTTGACAAGCAGCAGTGCTCCAGAGTAGCTAAAAATTCCAATTTCTGTTTGTATTATGCAATAAAGAACATTCCTATGGTGCACAAAGGTCTTATCATCCTTATTCACGGTACAGTGACTCTCACGGCATGTTATGACTGTGGAGGGTGTTGTTGGAAAGCATGGCCTCCTCTGCCTCACAGATGAAGACCAATTCACATCTTTGAAAATAAGGGCTCTATAGGCACACATACTGGAAACAATTTCTATTGTTGTCACGTCATTCCACAGCTAAAACAAGACTTGTGTAAGCTAATACGGACTGTCCATTGGACTGTCATTAGACTTACCTAAATGATGCCGTTACAAGCGTGTTTATAGCCTCGTGGTTGGTTGAGGGAACAGTCTACTTGTTCGTTGTCTTTTAAACAACATGATGTTACAAAGTGAGCGGCCGAGAAGAGGTAGCAAGTCCTACAGTTTCGCGTTTGAAACTAGCTCACCGCGGAGATGCACTGGTGAAGTTAAGGCTAGCCCGTAGCCTGTAATCATGACACAAGTTTAACGGTTATCGCTACAGCCGATGCATCACAAAGAGTTATTTGTACTAAACAAATCAGCAAGCTTACACTAAGTGCTTGAAGAGAGCTTATAAATAAATAAATAAATCGTCTTTCTCTTTAGTATTTCCAGCATACCGTTAAAAACAGCCCGAAGCAACTGTACCACTATCCGTGAGTTACACTGACAGCAAACATCGACCAACTGATGATACCGACACTGAAAACGGGTCGTCCGCAAAGCGGCAGGCGAGCTTTAACGACAACACGGCCATGTGGACCGAAAGAAATCCTCACACGAAGCAACACCTGGGCTTGTAAATAAACTAACCACAGCAGCAACCCCCCGCAAAGTTCAGTGTACAGACGGAGTCCCCCCAAAGCGCCTTCTCATTCGACATCCTCCCCTCGCTTTCGAGGGGGCGGAGCGTGTAGATGTCACCTGGGACTTTGCACGCTAATCTGCAAGCTTGGGTTGCATCTCTCTTTGCTAGGTGTTATTGAAGTCCTGTGAGTCAATTTCTGTCTCTGGCATTAATTTAATTCGCTCTTATGAGTTTATATTAAGTTGTAAGCTTTCAAATAAAAAGTAAACTACAGCTTGGTAGCCGCACGTGTGACGTCAGACCCATAGCTGAGCGTGCAGGGCTGTGCTAAATCTGTTTACTAGCCACAAAGGACACTACGTTTGCATCAATGACTGTAGAAAATAGTTTTCTATTTCCCTTTCAGAATGGAGGTTCAAAACAAAAGAGGGGTTTTAAAGGCCCAAACAAAGTTCGTTTGGGCCTTGTATATATATGTATATATATATATATATATGTCATT